CTCTCACATCTCTCAAATACGATCTTACCTGTCTCGCGCCAAATGGATTCGTCTCCGATCTCCCGCCATTTTCTTCATAGGCTGCCCTTAGCCTCCCCACTAACGAATCCAGCGACCCCCATGCTTGCCTCATTGGACACCCACAGTTGTTCTGATTATTGCACCCATAAAACTGACACGACTCTAGATGAACCTTGGTCTTCCCGAATTGATCAAGATACCGAAGGAAATCGACGACGTGCTGGAAGGTGCATCTGCCGATGAGCACAGGAGGGCGGTGGTTTTTCAAGTACTGGCCGAATGTAGTCCAATCGCGCCTCTTCTGTGCATTGTATCGGGAAGGAGGCTGAGTCGGCGAGGAGCTAGACACAAGGTCGAGCGAGCTGGAAGGAGAAGGCAATTGCCCGGCGGCGAAGTCAAGTCCACCTCCTCCTCCTCCTCCTCCTCCTCCTCCTAGTGCTCCTAGTCCTCCGCCTAGTCCTCCTAGTCCGCCTGAGGAGGGAGATCGGTCGAGCAAAGCGAGCGACATATCGCGTCTAGAGGAGGAGGGACCACCTCCTCCTCCTCCCCCCGAAAGGGAGGAGGGGAAGTCGGCCGTGCTATACAAGGTCTCCAGATTGGCGGCTGAGAGATCCTGAGGTATCTCTTGGGTTCCAGCGGTACCGGTCCCGGTCCCGTCCCACAGGTCCCACTCACCGGGAGTGGGACAGATGTAGCGATACACCGTGGCGGATGAGGGAAACACAAAAAAAAAAGGGGGAGAAGAGGGGGGTAGGAGGGAGGAGGCGGGGAGGTGTGACCCCTGGGAGAGGAGAGAAAGAGGGGGCGGGGGAGGGAGGAGGGGGCGGGGGAGGGGGGGACAGGGGTCAAGGGGGGAGAGCGAAGGAGGAGCCAGTCAAGATGGCAGCTTTATCGAGGTGGAGGATGGAGGGAGGAGAAAGGAGGAGGAGCACGAGGACAGCATGAGAGGGAAGCAACTAAGACGACAGAGCTCTCAATGCCACCTGGCTTTGCACGATCTCCTGCTGCTGCTGCTGATGATGATGATGATGAGCTTTCCAACGCCTCGCTGCCACGTGTCGCTCACCTAGTGACCTCAGTGAACTGACTGCTGCTGCATCGAGATGAGGGCGAACTAACTTGGACGTCTGAAGACGAAGAGGAGGGAGGAGAGAGGAGGATGGAGGAGGGAGGAGGAGGGAGGAGGGACGATCGGAAGAGAGAACTTAGATCCCCACTTCGCGTTTGAGTACTTGATCGCAAGAGAACAACAAGAGAGAGAGAGAGAGAGAGAGAGAGAGAGAGAGAGAGAGAGAGAGAGAGAGAGAGAGGAGAACTACTGGCAGCCCGGGCAAAAGGCAGAAAGTCGGTCGTCACGAGCTATGGTGGCCTGCTAGTATTCGACTTCCGTTCAAAATGACGTCGTATGCATTCGACGCCAACTCGCAAATTGAACAACGATCTCTCTCTCTCTCTCTCTCTCTCTCTCTCTCTCTCTCTCTCTCTCTCTCTCTCTCTCTCTCTCTCTCAGATCAGGCACAATGGGGACCTGAGCGCGGGCGAAGAAATCCACTAGAAGGGGAAGAATCGAAGAATTCCCATTACCGCCAAGTTGATGGAAGAGGAGAGAAACGATGAACGACGGTCGCTCGGCTACTAGCGAGAGGTAAAGTGGCAGCGTTTGTCTTCGCTCTGTTCCTCTAAAGGGAGGGTGGAATAGAAGCAGACGGGGGGTGTGTGTACCCCTTTACGACCGCGCCGTAGAGGGAGGACAGAGACAAGAGGTAGACCGACTGAGAGTCTGTAATAGAGCTATGATGTGGATGGCCCCACACACACACACACACACACACACACACAGAGACAGAGAGAGAGAGAGAGAGAGAGAGAGAGAGAGAGAGAGAGAGAGAGAGAGAGAGAGAGAGGGAGGGAGGGAGGGAGTCGAAGACCGGAGCGAGAGAGACTTAGAGCAAGGAAATGACACTAGCACGCTCACACACACACACACACACACACACACACACACACACAGAGACACACATTCCGACATTCGGTCGCTCATGCTTTTTCTGTAGAGTTGTGTGTAGCAAAGAGGACAAGAGACTCGCTCACACACACACAAAACACACATGCACTCACACATTGCCAGTGTGTGTGCATCGAGAGCACCTACTCAGAGGGAGCTCCCCTACCAAGGTAGAGCCGGGTAGAGTAAGTTAAGTTCCTCTGCGGTCTAACTCCCCAACAACGGTAGAGTCGGTAGGCTAAGTCCTTCTCCGGTCTATCTATCTCAGACTGTAGGAGGAGCTGGGAGGTGGAGCGCCCACTCCCACTATCTCAAGCTCAGCATGACATTGTGGGAAACGACCCCACCGGGCCCACACAACAAGAAGCTAGACGACCTGGCAGATGCACATGGGCTACTAGCCGATCCTGTCCCGACTCTTCTACCCACCCTACACAGCCTACTAACAGCCCCCCCTCGCCCCCTTCGCCCCCC